TGGTTGGGTTTAGGAAAAAAGAACAGGGTTTGGCTTTGGAATCATCCAAGACGTGAAGACGCGGCTGAAGGTAGGTGTTTGTTGGACCCATCCACCTCCCCTCCCACCTCCCTTAATAGTACTTACGTTGCATTACCTTCTTTTCGTGTCCCGCCCTGTTTCGGGTCCATGTCATTGGTCCAACAGCCCATTGGTCCGACATCCCATTAGTCCGACAGTCTGCGGTGCTGAATGGCTCCCGGCGGGCGTATTTCTGCCTTGATGGTGCGCCGCGACCGGCTCTGGGTCAGCTGGGAAAGGCTTGAGGAGAAGCAGGCTAACGGCTTATGTGTTTGTCACTTTCTTTTTCATTTTAACCCACACCATGATCTTTTCCTAACCCTAATCCTAACCAAGTGTTTTTTGTGCCTAAACCTAACCAGAACTTAACCACAGGGCATCATGATGATTTCGGAACAACGGGACTTCGGAACAATGGCTTTAACATGGTCGGAACAATGGGATGTCAGACCAATGGGCAGTTCCCCCTGTTTCCCACACTATAAAGGCAACCAACCACGTATCATGCAAACATTAAAGGATGGCTTTTTTGTAAGTGTCTGACACTGTAAGTCACTGCCCAAGCACCAGATTTCGACGACTCTGGAGTGAGCCCAGGTTGGCAAAAACTCCTTGGTCATGGTTAGGAAAAGGCCATGGTTTGGTTTAAAATTCCCAGTTTGGTCCCTACACACCTGGCTGAACATGTCCAAAATGGTTGTTAAAAAATTCCTACCTCTTGCGTTACAAACTCGGCTAGACATGTCCCTAAGTCTTAACACCCGCTTTTGTTGGTCTCAAACTGTGGTCTGTGCCTGGAGAATACACACAGGCGCAGAACATATGTGCTGGTTGACCGTTGGCTATAGTCTTTGTAGTGTTTTCATGTGCAACGTTTTTGGCTGAGACACAGCAACGTTAGGCAACGCAGTAGGGGGCTTTCGTCACCGCTAGTTCTTTGAAGTCAATTTGGTGTGTCTGGACCTGTAAGATTATTATTGTGTGGACAATTTTGTTATTGTCCAAAACCAAAGACCGAAACCAGCAGTCCCCCTCTCCAATATATTTTAACTGGAGACCTAAATCTTAAAAAAATGCATCATACAAATACACTTTAATTTTTAAACAGTGACTTTCCTAAAACAGCTGTTTTCAACAAATGTTGCTCGGACTTGAGTAAACAGTGAACTGAAAACTATTTTCAGATGTGGATTAACCCAGTGCCTATTTACAGCAGCAGGACTGTGCATGTGGGATGACTTAAAATAAACTCCACAGAGTCCGTGTTTATTATAATGAAGAAACATGTCAACACTGTGATTAACTGATGTGGTTTTTAAGAGTTTTTGGACAACAAAAGATGTTTTTGGCACAGAGGGATGTCAGGCAATAAATATTAGTCGGATAAATTGATTGTTGGATTTCTGTCTTTTCAATGGATTTACTGACAACAAGGAACACACAGAATATCATCAGCGTTCTCCTTTAAGGTGCCACTAATTAAATGACTCGTGTGTGATTGTGGCACTTTATCTTTTTTCCACAGGCTCTAATGTGCGCTATAGAAAAAGACTTGGATGAGAGAAACCCTCCCCTCTGCTGCCTCTGCGTCGCTGCTTGCGAGGAGCGTGTGAATCCTCAGACAGAAAGAGAAAAAATAGGGCACTTTCATATTCATTCAAGTGTCAGATCCAGAGCTGTCTGTAGGGAGAGCGAAAGAGAGAGGAAGGGAGGAAGAGAGGAAGGAGGGCTGCAACCACAGGAACTCTGAGGTTTCACAAGTCTTCCTCTTTCTCACACACACACACACAGTCAGGCATACACACTCACCTGCCTGCATGGACACACAGGGGAAAGGAAAGCAGGAAAAGGAAGTGAGGGGGAAGGGAAGAAAGTGAAAAGGAGATAGAGGAGGAAGGATGTGCTGTCATTCACACGTTAGGAAAAAAAAAAAACAGAACAGCCGCTGCATGTGCTCAGCAACGAGGTGTAAACGCAACAAACCAAGTTATGTGTCAGGTTTAATAGGCATAGCATCTAAATGAGGATTACGCACAGGTGCCAAACAGGCCGCGATCCGCTGTCTCCGAGATGTCACATCAATTCAGGGTACATGCGGCGCTGAATAGATAAACCTTCATCAACGCAGCCAAAAGAACAGGAAGCTCCCTCTTGAATGTGACACACAAACACTGGAGCACATGTGAGAATACCTCAGAGCAATTACCTGCTGGTTTCAGTGTGCAGCTGCTGCTAAACGTAAATCAACACTTCCTCCTGGTGGATCTGATGTGAACTACAGGAACCCCTCAGGCAGTCAGAAGGCACTCATCTCTCTGTCTTAACAAAAAGAGCAAAATCACGGCTCTGAAAACACTGGTCGTGTCATGTGCACCTCAGCACTGGGGCCTAAAGAAGGTGAAATAACAGATGTAGGATAGAGACAATCAAGTCAGCATGAATCCAGCAGGATTCTCGTGGTGAATTTCAGCCACACAACATGGTGCAAACTCATGTTTATGCTATTAGACTTAGGAGAGAACACTGAGAACCTCTGTTGCTATCTGTGTTAGCCTCTGGTCCCGAAGAATCTGCACCTGATTTTCTCATCGGGTTCTTTTTTTAAATCAGCCTTTCTGAAATGTGGCAGAAGAACACTTCATTCTACTAAACATTATCGGCCATTTTCCAAAGCATATCTCAAGTTACGATTGAAGCTAACTCTTTTAAGTTTAAACCAAGTCCTTAAAATGCTCTGAACAACATTAATTTCAACCTCTGCAATTACTCGACAACTGGGTAAATCCATCTGCTAAGAGCTGTCCGATTAAAAGCTCCAGAGTGGACACTAAATGGGCCTCTGATGAGTTTGATATTCATACTTGAAGTATTTAAAGGAAGTGTGTATTTCTCTTTTTCCACTAAAATTAGCGCAAGTTTTTTAAACTCGGGAAAAACAGGCAATTTACCCCTTTTCCATTGCCAGTAGACCAGAGCTATGTACATGGCTCTGCAGCAGACGAGTATCCCTTTTTGTTTTGTTTTTTTCTTTCTAGTGTGTCATTTTCAACATCACGGATGTGCCAAAAAACAGGTTAGTAAACAGAAGAAAGCAGCATGGAGGCCCGTGAAAATGTTGCAGTATTTATTTCTTTTTTTAAATCTTAGTAGTTATTCAGTCTCGCTTTCAGAGTCAGTGCTGACTAAATTGGAATAATGTCAGAGCGCTGCTTGAATGGAGTTGGACCACATTTTGTGTCTGCCCGTCTTTGCATCGCAGTGGCAAAAGAGGCTAAAATTAGCATATCCATCCAGATATCATATTGCCATCACTGCCGATTCATAGCTAATAAATACCCGTGATTACTACAAAGTTATTTGACCCGAGAGTGAATGCTGATTGTGATCATTACCATTTAATACAAAAGCCAGATGTTAGTCGATGTGAGTGGGGTTTTTCGTCCAGTGAGACAGGGGTTTAAGGGAATTTAGTTGCATCTAGTGGTGAGGAGAACAAATTGCAACCAGCTGAAATTTCTCCCAGTTAGAATTCCTTCAGTGTTCATTGTTCTGGGGGTTTTTACCAGGAGCTGAATTATCTGCAGAGGTCTCTCCCTATCCAAAACAAATCAACCCAGTGATATGAACCAGTTAAAACACTGAATAAAACAGTTTCACTTTTGTAAAAAAAATCAACGTTTTTCCGATGCTTTTATTGTGGAGAGGCTTCCGACAGCAATCACCAACGCAAAAACACGAAAGGCCCTATCTAGAGCCAGTGTTTGGTTTGTCCGTTCTGAGCTACTGTAGAAACATGGTGATGCAACATGGCGATCTCTGTAGATAAGGACCCGCTCCCTATGTAGATAAAGGATAAACAGCTCATTCTAAGGTAACGAAAACAAACAATTTGAATTCTTATTTTCATGTGATTATACACTAAAGAAAACATAATTATCATATTTAATTTATGCCAATATTTCCCCCTAAATCCAAACACTTAAGCATTTACATTGTCTTCCTACAGGGCCGACAGCTGGTCCACCTGGTGGAGAGGGCACCCCATGTGTGATGGCTGTGTCCTTGCCGTGGCAGCCACGGGTTCCATTCCATCCCACAGCCCTTTGCTGCATGTCATTTCCCCACTCTCTCTCTACCTGTTTCGCGCTTAAGCTGTCCTGTCAAATAAAGGCAAAAAGCCCAAAAAATTATCTTTAAAAAAAACGTCTCCCTACCTCTCAGACAGCCTTTTGCTGCCAGTCATTTTCAGTAGGCTACAAAAATTGCCTTGCAACTTAGTGGAGATTTTCATCAAAGCTGATCCTTCGAAGGATGAGCAGCTGCATGGTGATGCAAATGCACAGTCCTTTTTAAATTCCATCTTCCTGTACATCTTAAATTTGAGATTTGGCTGCAAAAAAAGGTTTGCAGTCACGACCCATCATTGAGCAAAACTAAAAGAAGAAGAAAACATTACAAGCCATCATGGATATTGTCAGAAGGACGTTATTATATTGGTTGTTTCAAGCATTATTGAGGCTGTAGATTTTGGACTGTCTTTACACTGGACGTTTCCCTGACATCTTACTGTGCACTTCAGATCACGAAACCTCAACAAAAATTAAGGGTAAGACATGTTTACCCTGCCTCAACCAAGTTTTGGACCTAAAGTTGATTTTCACACACTGATGAGATGAACTGGAACAAATGTCAGTCTAAAGATTGGATATTTGACAAAATCTTATTCGGCCCACTGTGGGAAAAACGTCATGAGTTAAAACCCTGAAAGGCAGCAGAGCTCACCTGTAATCTGGGTCTTCTGTTTGGATGGTCAACCTGACAATTCATCATACTTCCTGCAGTGACTTCAAACAAGTGCACAGACATTAAAACAGGAATCCAGGCTTTCCAAACACCAACCACACTGAGACAGTCACAGAGTCACAGATGAGCAGGAACGCTTCTTATGATTTGATTGACTTTATTTGTAAGGCACCAGAAGTCCTTCCTTACTGCAGAACATTTCATATTATTTATAGTAAATGTTTGTTGTACTTTTTTTTTATAGTTTCTTTTTTTTTGTTTCAATGAAGCTATGATTTCAGACACAAAACATTTTTTTTTGCCAAAGTACACACTTTCAGGTTTTACATTATGCACAAAATAAGTATTTAAAAAAAGACCTTTACAAAGCTCAAAACGCTTACAATGCTTCACGCTATGGGGGCCAAAAGTCGGGAAGGTGGGACGTGGTGTGGGAGTAAAGGGGATCGGAGAGAGGATGGGGGTCAGAAAGAGGGTCAAAGGGCAAAAGGTCAACGTACTGCAGTTTCCCCCCTGGTGTCACATCAGTTTTGTAACACAATAGCACAAGAATCATCCAGGACAGACAAGAAAAGATGCAGCTATATACACATAAAGCTTTCTATGTATAACTGTATACAGAGGCCGGCGCCTCCAACTACTTTAACAAATACATAGAATTTCATTTGTATGTTTATAACGTCAGCTTTGTAACTCTCATTCTAGTTCATATTGATTAGTATTTAAAAACAAAGAGGATAAAAAAACAAAACAAAAAAAAAACAAGTGCATTGATCACAGAAAGTTTGGACCAAACATTCTTTTGAAAAAATGTCTCCACTAGAAAGAAATCAATCTCAGTTCCCCAGCAGACATGCACTGATGTGTGTGTGTGTGTGTGTGTGTGTGTGTCGCTTTGTCTACACGCTCTGCATATCACTACGACAAGTACAGTTTGTAGCTAGACACATACAGTATGTGGGAGGACGGTGTGCTGCGAGCTTAATTCACAAGCAGAATAGCGTGTTAGCTTCAGTTGTAGGAACAACAGCAATGCATTTCATCTGTGTGTGTGTGTGTGTGTGTGTGTGTATCAAACCTGTACAGCTGCTTATACACACCTTGTTTATGTATTCACATACATACACAACAATGGGCATCATCGAAGGATTCATCCCACCAACGTCACCAACAGGAAGTCATCTGAACTTATAGACACATGGAGGGTTTCATTCTAATGTGCAGTTTGTTTACTTTTGCTTTCTGAATGACTTCAACAATAAAATGTGCTTTATCATCATCATCGTGCCAAACATCGTTCTGAGTGGTGTTTCTCCAAAAATCAAAGCATCTCATACGTTACATCAATTCATTCTCACAGTGTAGCCTTAAAACCAGAGAGAGGAGGGTAAGAAATGTTTCTGTGTATGTGTGTGTGGGGTTTATATAAAACAACTTCATATACAGGCCGCCGCCAAATGTCAGGGGGTCCGATCACCACTGAGGGTTCATCTGCTGGAAATATGTGTTTGCAAACACCTTAAAGGAGGTGTACGTGTTCAGTCCCGTCTCATGTTGTCAAAAGAAGACGTCTTATAGGGTTGGACCCGTTAAAGCCCCTGCACCCCCATAGTCAACCTACACAGGTGTTTACACGTTGCCTGATTAGACCTCTTCTTAGGATCTCACTCATCTTCTTTCCACCAAGCAGTCTGATTCGGTTCAGTTCAGTTTGTTACACATTAGAACAGTTATTTTGCGTTTCCATTGTTGTGAATAGTATCAACACGACACCTTTGTCGAGGTACCTAGCACACTGATCCGACACTAAAAGGTGGAGCTAGAAAAGCTGCAGTCTGTTGTATGGTCGAGTGAATTGTCACTGCTGCACGACAAGGACTCAACGAACATCAAGCCAACTATTTTTAAATATCCAGTCGATGATGACTGATACTCTAAACACTCCAGCCTGTTCTTTTTGTTTGGAAAATGTTTCGCAACCACATTCTGTGCACGAACAATGAGGTTCAGACATTCCTCTGAATCATCAGTAAAGAGAAAATGCAGAAAGAACTGGATGAGCAGCGATATGACTACTACCATCTGATAACAACCCCACCTACATTGAGAGTCTGTCTGTGGTGGAAAAGCAAAACAGCTCTATGGATAAGCATAAGTGCTACATCGTAGGCAACTGGACTTGCTTGTGTTTCTTGAAGACATTTTGCCTCTCATCCAAAACGCGTCTTCAGTTCCAGACTGTCCAGTTGCCTACAATATAGCACTTATGATTAAGATGACTGAGTATCTTCACCGACACGTCTACAGATGAGGTACATGTTGGTACGACTTTCAACGGTTCTAAAGGAACTATACCAATGCAGCATTCTAGTGGTTTAGTTGCTTTCGTTATGCCGCATTCGTGTCATATCGGAGGTACAGCTTCCAACCTGTAAACAGCATTAACGTCAACATCAACATTGTAATTGCCGACTGAGGATATTTTTTTGAAAGCCCTGATGTGTCTGACTTAACACAGAAGCGCCTGAAAGCCAAAGAAATATGGACGCCTAATGTTGGCCACATTTTTTTTTTTTTTAAGATTTTCATTTAAACAAATATCTGTTAAGTCACTATCACCACATAAAGTTATGCAATATTGCCCACGGAAAAGAGTCCCTGCATTTGCAGCATTACGAACTGGGCGTCTGTGGCATTGTTCCCAAGAAAAATCACAAGTGATGCAGAGTTAGTGACGCATTTTCCATCACCAAGCAGTGGTTGCTCCATTAGATTAGGTAGGCAGAGCTAACGCAATGAATTGCTCTTCAACTCACTTGTACGCGAGGCGGCGGGCTGTTTTTTCCTGGTCTCTGCAAGCGTTGCAGGCAAACGGTTATTGTGACTCACCAAAGAGAGAAAAGACCGATGACTTGAGACTACAAAACTTCAGAAACAAGTGCAAATCCAAATTAAAAGAAACTAATTCAACTTTTAATAGAGGGTGACACTGTTCGGTCTCTGGAAAGTACGAGCCAAAAACACACCTACAATTACTGCTTATCACCACAGGTGCCGCCAAAGAGAACAGAAAATAAAAAGATTATCAAAGTTGTATCTTTAAGTAATTAAATCTAAATGTAATGGGAAGTATAAAACTGTCAATTCAAGCTGGGCAATTCAATCACACAAGTGCCTTAAAGTTTCCCTGTGGAGTTTGGATTTGTGGGAACTTTTAAGGGCACTGTAAAGATCTGCTACTGAGATTCTGAGCACAACCAGAGTTTGGTTACTTCACATTTTTCCCAGCATAGTTTCAGCCAACTTCCACCTGACGAGAGGCCTAATCGGACAAGCTAATTGAAAACAGGGCCTGTGAGGCTGTGGGGGAGTTTTTACTCTTTGGAGCAGATGTGGAGGACGCCAGTGCTTCAGCTGTGTGATCTGCACTGATATAATTGTGTTGGGTTGTGGAAATTTCTCACTCGGTGTTGTACGTAGGTGTTAGAATGTAGTGTTAGTCTGATGTGTGACACACCTGTATATGTACAGTGAATCAAAATGTACAGTATTTAAATCAGATTTTACAGAAGGGGTCAAAAGCACACGTCCAGTTGTGTTTCTGTGTTCCACAAAACAGAGTTTTTCCTCAAGAACTGGATCACGGCAGAGACTGGGACTGACCGCATGCAGAGATTAATGTCACCAGTCAAGTCTCTGTATATTAAGTTAGTACACACAGAGTGGATAAATAAGCCATTCCCCCTCGTGACACAGCCTGTACTCTGTCTTTGTCCTGTCCTTGTTTTGCTCTGGACCCAGTGAGGAGGAAGACACACACTGCCCTCTGCTGTCAAACACACAACATGCACACTGTCTCCCTTCGGTGCCCGCTCTAATATTAGTGCACATTAAAGATGCAAAAGGTGGTGGGGAGGTGCGGCATCTCTGTTCACTTAACTACTGGGGAAAATGTTGCCTTCGGTTAAGGTGCTGGGTGGATTTATCTAATGTACCTCACGGGGTCAGGTGAGGATCTTAAGTCGAGGGGGATTACTTACTAATGTGGGTTTGTTATCTGCTCTGACAGCTCTCAGCATGAAGGTGCTTTCCCTTTCTCAATATAAATTTAGGATTATACACAAAATCTGGAGACGTATTCTTGATACAACGATCCTGCTCTGAAAGCAGCAGGTTTTGGTTCGGACTTGTGTGTGTGTGTGTGTGTGGGATGTTTCTCTCTTTAGCCGGGGCACGAGGACACTGTTTAAACACTACTCTGATCCATTACAATCCACCGTTTAAACTCAAAGCCAAGTTGTGGCTTGGAATGAATGCATGCAATCTGTACTGCCAAAAATATCAACTGATCTCTGTCAGACCTCCTTCTTAGGAAAATTGGAAGTTTGTAGGAATCCTATGTTGTGTCTGACAAGTGTTACAGCCTGCCAAAGAATCCCTGTGTTTAACGTTTAGCCTGTTTTAACACCTACGGTACGGTGCGTTCAGTCTCACAGATCAGTCCTGCATAAAAAGGACCCGCTTAGAACAGAGGCAAGAGGTGGGTGAGAGTGGGAGGCAGAGAAAAAAAAAAACCAGAAACTAAACAGGAATAAGAACTGAGAGATGGAGCGGCAGGAAGGCAGGAAGGAACAGAAATAGAGAGCAGTCCTGATAAAAAAGAAAATAAACATAAAACAGAAGCTTAATCAGATACAAAAAAGGGACATTTGAAGAAAAAGACACAGGAGACACTCTGATGTTGATACAGATGAGGGAGGATAAAGAAACAACCTATGGATGTAAATATGAAGGGATCAGGACTCATCTGATATAAGGGGCAGGTGCCAAAGCCCTCCCAGTAGTGAGAGTTGGTTAGGGGTCTGTAGCTGGAGCCGTGTGATAGGATTAAAGCCCATGTTAGCTAAGGTCAGAGAGAGGGAGACCAGGGGAGAGGCTGTAGGCCAAGGGAGCTCAGATCTGGGGGATTCAGGTCTCTGGACAAAAACAGAGCTGAATGGGGACACCACCTAATCGGACTTGTCTCCGTCCTCCTCGCGGTGGCTGTCGACTCCGTCACGTGATGCTTTCTCCTCCTTGGCCAGCTGGGCTTGGGAGGCCAGCAGGGAGGAGAGGGAGAAGAGACCGGAGGAGGTGGTGACGGCCGGGAGGGTCGGCTGGCTCAGGCCCAGCGGCAAGGGGGTCATGGGCAGGGCCAGGCCCTGGAGCTGAGACAGCTGGTGAGCCTGGAGCTGCTGCTGCATGGAAGACAACCAGACACAACTTAGGCACAGCAGGGTAGACCCGGCACACAAATCACTGCAAAACACAGGGGGAAATGCAAAATCTGCAATGCACAGACCTATTATACATCACAAATTATGTTTAATATATAACCCCTGAGGCACAGCGCTAATAGCTCAGGCACAATAGGAAAGATGGAAGGCACATATCATAGCTAAAATACATGCTCGGTAGGAGATGAAAAGTCTGCAGCACATATAACTTATTTATAACAGATGCAATTTTCAATCTATATAACCCCAAGAAAAAAAAGTGAGGGGGGGTACACACTGTAAAAAATGACTCAAGAGAAGACACACCATGTCCACAATGTAACACATAAAACTACACATAAAAATACCACGGGATACATGTTTCATTTTAACGTGCAGAGAGACAAATCGTTACTGCCAAGCCTGTTCATTTTCATCACTCCCTGCTGTACACACACTTGACGTCATGACACATCAGTGGGTTGATTTTATGACAATCCTGACTGACTTCTCATAAACTGGATCTAACAGCCCCGGTTTGCAGAGGCTGCACCCACAAAGTAAACAGCTTCACATTCAGAATCACAAATGCTCCATGTCCTTTAGGTATATTTAATGTACAAAGTATGAAAGGAAAATATTGGTATGCATCAGGAAATGGACCAAATTGTGTGTCTCGCTGTGCTGAGAGGAGTCCCAAAAACACACCAGTATCCTCTGAATCTAAAGCAGCAGACACAAAGACAAAGGCAAGGCGCCTCTTTGAATCATGCATCACAGTGATGGAGTGGCTAAGCTAGCTAACACTACCATAGTAAAATGATGGAGTGGCTCGGCTAGCTAATACTAAACCTCTGGTAAAATGATGGAGTAGCTAAGCTAGCTACTACAAGGCTTATATTGATAAAGTGTAGCTGGCTAACATTAAAGCCACAGAGATGACGGATTACAGCAAGCTGGCTAATACCCCATCCATATTGATTCAGTGTTTTAGTTAGCTTGCTAGCTATCCTAATGTTCTCATTATCAAAATTGTGCCCCTGGAATGGAGGATTGAGGGTTTCATCCTGTTAAATGGATGATTACAGCTACAGGGTGGGGTAAACTTAAATTTTCCAACTCATTTTGAAATATAGACGTTAAAATTTTCACAAACTATTAGCCAGTAATTGAAGGCCATTAAAGGTGACAACAGAATTAGAGATAATGATCAATAATCGTGATTTGAAGCCATCGTACGACCCTCAAGCGGGGCCTGAACATCATACCCTTATGATGGAGTTCATCTCTGGGGGGGTGACCTGCTTGGCCCTCTCTATGGCTGCCAGGACCTGCTGCTGGTGCTGGAGACAATGGGTGGGGGGTGGAGGGGGTGAGGGTGAGAGTGGGGCGGTGAAGACGAGCGAAAGGAAAGTGAGAGAGACAATAAAAGCGAGACAGAAACAAGGGGAAGAGAGTTCGGGGGGAGAGAGGTGGAGAGGTTAGATCAATATCAATAGTCCCAACAGAGACCCGACAACCCTCTCTGGTGATGCATCCCCCCCCTCCGGCCATTCAGCTATTCATCCAGTCATACACACACACACACACACACACACACAGAAACACACGCACACGCACACACACACACACACACACACACACACAAAAGCCTTGTGTGACACCGGTGAATGGATGGTTGGCTGGTGTGCTGTAATGGGTGGAGGTCAACGCCCTGGTGGGCAGATAAGAGCATGGCTTATCTGAATCACACAAGCATTTATTACGCTGACACACACAAACATACACATGTATAAAGGAAAAGAGGAGTGGGATGGAGGAGGGATAAAGGGGAGGAGCAGAGTGGAGGAGGAGGAGGAGGAGGTCAAAAATGAAGGGGGAGGGAAGACCGGGAGGACAGACTGAATATGGCAGGGGAGAGTGGGGGAGGGAGTGAAGTGAAAGTGAGTTAGAGAGGAACACGGGAAGCGAGTGATGATGAATGATGGGAGGAGAGAAATGGAGAGGAGAGCAGAGGAGGGAGGGATGCTGAGCGAGGGGTCACGGAGGTGGAGAGGTAATGAGGCGGGAATGAGGGTGATCTCATTCCAGGATGTAAGGAATAGTGCGGAGGGTCAGAGGGTTAGTGACGTCTTTGTGTCAGAGCGTGTGTGTGTGTGTGTGTGTGTGTGCTTACCTCCTGAGACAGGTAGGGGAGGACTTGTGCGCAGATCCCGTTCAATCTCTTCACTATCTCAGCCTGCGGAAGGAGAGATTCTTAGTTTAACAGAAATATCAATATTAATCTAAATGTATTTTACTGTCAACATATCCAATGAAAACACCCAAGCCCTTCAATTCCTACCTAAGATGTTAACAATATAAACTGGGCACAAATATATAGTTTCATTTCTAAAAAAGGTCAAAGTAGTTTCCTAAAAGGCAGGGCACTCAGCACTCAAACAGGAGTTACTAGTGTATATGTTGGGGACTATTTTTAGATGCAGATTCATACACATTTGGTTCTCTAGTGTGTATTTACAGCAGTAGGACAGTAAACTATGGTGCCCACTTTCATCAAAATGAAGGAACATGTAGTTTAGAGAGACAACTTGGCCTACTGATGTGTTTTTAAAGCCCCTACACACCTCGATGCCACTTTGCTACTGTGTGGTTCAGCACCATTCGACACAACTTCCTTCAGGTCCTTTTCTCTTTATCTTTTTACCACTGTGGACAGTACCCTTTTAGTGTTGGTGGGATTCTCAGCTGATCACCATAGCGATGCCACATGAAACTGCTGTGACATCTTTAACTTGACACTTGCTGAATCCTTTCATTGGAAACCAAACAAAATAACATCTGCACTTCATCAACTGTATGGTGTAGTGTAAGGTGTAGTTTTGTTAGCTATCATGTTTTAAAATCTGGTCAAGAGAATCAAAACATTGCTGTCGCTATTGACAGTAGCTTAGTTATTTAAAAATGGCGGGCCTGTGCAGGATGTCCTATGTTGCTCATAGACTGTAAAAATCATGGAAGATAGCTATAATGATGTCAACCACTGGTTTATAAATTGTTTCAAAGAAGTGTTTTTGGCACTTCCATGTTGAGGTTGCTGCTTAGTGTTGCTCAAGTGACATTTCTCTCTGACCAATCGGTGCACTGCAGTGTTTTTACTCCACCTTCTAGTATCAACTCAACTCATTTACAGACTCTACCAAGGTGGTACCAAAAAAAGTACCAGGTACTATCCACAACTTTTGCTACTAATGGCTTCAAAAAGTCAGTCAATCCCCATAGACCCTCGAACAGCAGAAATAAATATGTTTGTAGCCTGGTCCAAAAAGCTAATTTCAAGATTCATGACAACTGTACAGGGGGTGAATTTTTATACAACTCACCCATTTTCATTTTATGAAGGCTTAAAGTTACACTTAATTAAGGGCAGGCCGTTTGGAGTGACAGGCTGTCTGCCGACAGTGTCCTCAAACAGGATTTGTACTTCTGCATCGAATTGACGGTGTACCTACATTGTAGGCTCTGCACTGATGTAGAGCACACGCCGCACCCTACGCCATAGCCAGACGCGCACCTCCCCAGACATGTAACTACACGATGCAGTGACACAGACCTCCTGTCTGCTTTTGTAAAAACCATTTCCCTCAGTGGAAACAAAGCTTTTATTTAAGTTAATTTCACAGATAAGAAACAATAATGCCCCCTCACCAAAACTAGCATTTTAAGTCTTGTGTGTGATTTATCCTGGCTTCATTTGAGTAGAGGAAATCTTTGCAAGTTGCTAGGCTAATTTACACAGTGAAAAATGCCATGGCCTTGTGCTAATAGCATTAGCATGTTATAGTTGTTTAGAAAACGTGTTTAGTATAAGACAGTTTTGTCGATGAACCTTGTGAGTTGTAATGGAGCCGACTTCTGTAGTGTTACCTTTGTTAAATGTTGCTGTTGTCCCTGGCTTCGTTTGTGTGGAGGAAAAGTCCTTAGCTGCTAGGCTAATTCATACAATGTAAAATGCCATAGGCTTGTGCTAAAAACATTAGCATGTTGTATTTGTGGGGAAAATGTGTCCAGATAAAGACAAGTGCTTGTCTGTGAATGCTGCGAGTTACAGTGAAGCTGATTTGTGTACTTGTGTTTGAAATTGTCTCTATTAAGCCATGTTTTAATGTGTGTTTTGGGTGTTTTGAATCAACTTAACTAAACTTTAAAGCACTTTACAAAAACCTTGCTGCAGACTAGTATTCTGGAGGTGTAACTGCAAAGTGACACAGGCACACCACAGCACAAGTCTAAATGATCACAACGATGTAAGCCACGTGTGTAAGCTATGGTGTAGGCTCTGCATAGAGCTAATGCACAAGGACAAGTATAAATCCCGCTTGACAGCCAAAATGCTGAATTTGAGGCTTCAAAACAGGAGTCCACAAACCAATGGGTGACAGTAGCTATGTCCATTATTTTACAGTCTTTGGGAAAACTCCTTAAAATGGAGTGCAAACAGCAGCTTGGCTTTGAGCTCTTGCCAGAGACAGTACTGTGCTTTTATTCCGTTTGCATTCAGCCACAAGTCATGTGAGATGTGTTTATTACTGTGTATTGTTTAGATGCTGTTGGTACACATGGTATTTTGTTTGGGTTTCACACAGAGCCACTGATACTCAGCATAAGTGGCATGTGACATTTATTGCCAAATGGAATAGTGGTGGAAACCACATCCCCTCCAACCAAGACTCAACCGGTCTGGTTTAGAGCGCAATACTTATTTTCCATAAAAGATATTTTGACACGTCACAGTATTAAACACACAGCTGTGGATGATAAACTGAATGATTCAATTCATTGTTGGTTTTGGTCTTTTCATGGGATTTGTTGACAAACCAGATTTATCCTTTAAACCCTTGTGATTCAAACCACACTCTCATCAGTATGGGAAACATCTGCAATGACCTTCTCAAACTAGGGCACCCATATCTTGCATCACACACACACACACACACACACACACACACACACATATATCAGACATATCAGAATCCCTTTATTCACCTCATTAATTAAGTTGCTTGTACTTAATACTCTTTCTCAAACTACTAGGCACGTGCATGCGTGCGCACACACACACACACACACACACACACACACACACACACACACACACACACACACAGTAAGAATAACCCATTCAACACATACACACCCTTTTCTCCTCCTTGTCTTGCACATTCCCTATCTTTCTCACATGCAGGTCTATTATCACATTTGGTTGGTAATCATCCAATCCGTCTGAGATATGCAAAGCAGCAGTAATTGTGTTAGAGCCTAATTCGTGGTGCGATGAGGAGAGAGGGGCCCTCCTAACAATCATTAGGCATGCAGAGCACAGCTCCCCATCAAGCGCTTCACTCCTATCCGCTCATCATTACACATACACACTCCCTGACATCTCTAAAATGTCTCTCTAAAATGTCTCTGTGGGACTCGCTCCATGCTAACTATGGCTCTTCCTCTTTTTCAGTGCCCTTTATGCCGCCTCTCTCTCCCTCTTTTTTCCCAACCCAGCTTCTGTTTCTTCTTTTATCCGTGCTCTCTATTATCCACCTCTCTGTGTCTCTCCCTCAGCTTTTATCTGTCTGAACGCTTCTACCCTCCTTTTGTCCTGCCTTTACATTTTACTCTGCTTCTTTCTAGCTTTCCTCAAGTGCTACTGGAGCACACATTCACTGACGAGAGCATTGTATGTGTGCAAATAAAACATACTAAATAATAAAACTGTGCTAGGATTCCGGACAAATACATGGAGGATGTGCAACAGACTGAATTCATTGCTGCTGGAGATGTCTTTGCTGCTTTTTGCCAGTTTAAATAAGCTTTATCTTTTGTAATTTGAAAATGTAGACTCGAAGGGGAAGGCAAATACTGATACAAAAATGTGTTCGAGTTGATTTAAAATGTGTTTCAAGGAAGCATGGAAGGCAGCCTAAACAAACCTAACATTGCACAGACTTCCTCAGGGTGTCCTGCTTTTGTCCCTGAATGAGTTTCACTCTTTGAGGGTCATGAGCTACTGCTTCCTGCCAGGAATACGACCGGACATGATACAAACTCTGACAAGCAGTGGTATAAATTAATCAGGAACATTTACTATGGTTGTGTTCTTAAAGGGATACTCTGCCAAATTTCAACCAGCTATGTATCTTAACACTGTGGGTAGTATGTCCTGCACAAATCCCCTGGATGATGCAAAACGTGTCTTTCAGAGGATTTTTGCTGGCTCTAGCACTGTTGCCTGAACTATAGATTGTACTTGGCACTTTCATACGCCTGCCACCATGGACAAAAAGAGAACAGAAGAGAGAAAGAGAGACCCCCACCCTCTCTCTCAAACTCAGACAAAATTCCGATCATATGATAAAACTTGGTAATGCTGATCAAATATAAACCAAGATTCTGTGAGTCCTATTTCTTGCCTAAAAGGTCTTCAGAAACATATTTTAGTACACGCAAATTTATGAACAGGGGAGCGCCATACTGTTTCTGGTATTGTAAAAAATGGAGGTTGAAAAAATAGTTGAAACGATAAAACCAAGCAGTGCTGATTAAATGAATCAAGATTCTGTTGCTGTGTTGCCTATTTCTTGCCTCAGATGTTATAATTAACATATTTTAGCTCACTGTTTAATTACAATTTGAGGTTGTTTGGTACCAGCCGACGGCCATATTGTTTCCTGTGGAAAAATGTGACATTACATCACCCACTTGCTGGAGCACTAATTGTTCTGGTGCGATGCATAGCACCCTGGTAGTTGTAGGTTGAGCATTATTGCTTGAGCGAAAACAAACGCCACAGCCCTTTCGCTCTTTTCTCTGGTCATATAGCACCTAGTCCAGTTTTATGAAGAGACCATCTTCACAGCAGTAACATACTTCTTAAAGTAAAATGTTGAGGTACTTGTACATCAATTCAGTATCAACTTTTTGTGCTGCTTTAGGCCCAGATCACAAATAAAGCGTTTCAGCAGCTACGGGTGCCTTTTAGTAATTATTTTTAATGAGAATGAAGCTTTTGTGGTTTTGTGTTTTTTTTGCATCGCAATGTGCCTCTTGCTTCTGCACTCTAGGCACCTGGCGTTGTTGCCTGAGCGCTCTAAACTCCTGAAGTTGACACTTCAAATCAGGGCGGAAAAACTCCCCACGTCATCTCTTTTTTTCTCCAGGTACTCTGGCTTCCTCCCACAGTCC